CCGATACGCTCCCACAGAGAGGGTCTCCTCAGGGTGCCGTCAGCCAGACAGTGCCGGCTGGCGACCCCCAGGGGGAGGGCCTTCTCGGTGGGAGCCCCCACCCTTTGGAATGAACTCCCCCCAGAGATCCGGGTGATTCCGGATCTCCCCTCCTTCCGCCGCGCCCTCAAGACGTGGCTTTTTAAGCAGGCAGGACTGGTCTAAGTATTACTTTTAATTAGTTTTCTATTGGTTTTAAAGGATACTGATTGGCCTATTGCAATATTTTATTTTAATTGATTTTAAAATGTGGTATGTTTTTTGTATTTGTTTACTTGTTTTTAACGGGCTGTAAGCCGCCCTGAGTCCGCAAGGAGAAGGGCGGGGTAGAAATCTAATAAAATCAAAAAATCAAAAATCAAATTATCGATAAACTGGACAAACGATGTATCGGCAAGTCTGCTTTCCAACATGGTGCAAATTCTAAACCGGTAGACAACTCTGGTACACAGAGTGCATTGCAAATGCAGATGCAAACAACAGATTCACTGAATATCCCAAAATAATTAGTACCTATGTACCAGATCAAGCATCCTCAAAGTTAACCTGTGCCAGAGTTTTAAAGCAGTTCTTCAACTGATCCTTCAATTCTATAATAAATTGCTTTTCTAAGAAGTGGTCTATAGATATTGCAATAAAGAAACATTAGCCGTGAAAAGTGCTGAAACACAAGTATAAATTATTTTAAAATATTAAACAACACCAGGACTGGCATTATAAGAAATTTGTTCTGAATAGGTAACCTCTTTCTATCCAGTTTGAAACTTAAATATAGTAAACAAGTGCAAATCCTTTTCTTTTTAGTTAATTGTACTTGGCTAATAAATGGTCTCCATATGTCTTTATATAAGCTTACTTTGCTCATTTTTGATACTAATAAAAACTGCAACTGAAACATAAACTTACTGACCTACAAGGAGGAACTCCTCGATATAAATTTGTAACACTGGCGATATACAAGTCTAGGACGCTAAACATAAACAGGTAGTCCTCGACTTACGACCACAGACATTTGTTAAATGAGTTTTGCCCCATTTTACAACCTTTCTTGCCACAGTTGTTAAGTGAATCCTTGGAGTTGTTGAGTTAGTAACACGGTTGTTAAGTGACTATGGCTTCCCCATTCACTTTGCTTGTCAAAAGGTCGCAAAAGGTAATCACATGACCCCAGGACACTGCAACCGTCATAAATACGAGTCAATTGCCAAGCGTCTGAATTCTGATTATGTGACCATGGGGATGCTGCAATGGTCATCAGTGTAAACAATGGTCGTAAGTTACTTTTTTCAGTGCCGTTGTAACTTTGAACGGTCACTAAATGAACTATTGTACGTCAAGGTCTACCTGTACAATGTAATATATCAAAAATATTGAAGAACTAATCAGGAGAGAACATCTTGATCTGGTTTGTACATCACAATAAGTTGATTGTTTGACAATTTCAGTAACCAGAATTGTCCAACTTTTTGTGTAAATATTAAGCCACAAACCGCAACATACAATGTTAGACCTTGATATATGCATGGCTGGCTCAGGAATTTTGGGAGTTGAAGTCCACGAGTCATAAAAGAGCCAAGGTTGCCTACCCCTGTGCTAAATCAAAACCAAACAAATTACATTATTATTTATACTAGACTAGAGCAATAGAACCCAGCCATGAACAGAGAACTGTTGTTTCATAGATCAACCCTATTGTTTGGCTGGCAGGAACTTCTCTGTTCTTTACAGACAGAAGCGCAGCACCCTCTGCATCTCATTATTCTGCACATTGGAAGTGACGAGAACAACAACCAAGCAACAAACTAGCCACACAAAAAGTGAAGTGAACTTATTATTGTCGTTGTTGCGATAAGGGGGATTTAAGAGCAAGGTGATTTATTGTCTACACCAGGGGTAGGCAACCTTGGCTCTTTTATGACTCGTGGACTTCAACTCCCAGAATTCCTGAGTCAGCTGTGCTGACTCAGGAATTCTGGGAGTTGAAGTCCACGAGTCATAAAAGAGCCAAGGTTGCCTACCCCTGGTCTACAGTGAAGAAAAAAGCAAGTAACAGATGGAGTCATAGAAAAAACAATAAACATGGTTTTTGGACCACCCATCCAGTGGTGGGATTCAAATATGTGAACAACCAGTTCTGTGTGGATGCTGCTTCCGGAAGTCCATTCTGGGCCTGGGCAACAAAAAATTAGCTACCGGTTCTGCTGAACTGGTGCGAACTGGCTGAATCCCACCACTGCACTCACCCACAAGCTGAGATATACAAGGGTGATCGTGGGACATATATCTCTGGAGCCACTCCATTTTCCTGAATCCTCCCTAAAGAACCTAGATAACGTTTAGGAAATGCCAATAATCTCTAAGCAGGAGACGTTCCACACTATAACAAAGAATTCTTAAAAATGAAAATTACTCGGGAAAGATAATATGTATAAAGCAGTCCTTTATTTTTTTTCCCCAATTGTTTTATAGCAGCTTCTTTTTAAACAATACTAAGGAAAGTTATAAAAAAATGTCTTTGGTGGTAATACATTTCTCATGTGTCCCACACATAACACCATGTGTTTTTAAGATAACATTTTACTAGCTATATGGTTCCAGGGAGCCTTTTGGATAGCTTATGATGAAAGAAAAGTAAGGATAAAAGAAAGAGGAACCTGCAGTCTTAGGATCCTTAAAAGATGGAGCATAGTGAAACCGACAATTTAGTTTTATAAGTTAATTTAAAAAGAGAATGAAAGCTAGTGTTAAATACATATCTAACACCAGTGTAGAAAAGTCAAAGGATCCATATTTTAAGAAACGAAACCTACTTCTTATAATTTAAGAACAAAATTAATTTTCAGAAAACATTACTTCATGTCTACTAGATTCCACAAAAAAAAAGGTTAATTTTTTTTGGGTGGGGCATTATAAGAAATGTTACATTTTTTTTTACTCATGACATGTTGTTTTGGTTTCAAATAATAGCATAAATTAATACAGCTTTGCAAAAAGTATATATAATAAAGATGTAAATCTAATGTTAAACTACACCCTCTCTGTGTTTAGCAAGCACATTTCATTATAACGATTTGGTCGTTGTACGAAATGGTTGCTAAGCGAATACATGACAGAGAGAAAGAAAGAGAAATGCTGCAAAGATCGTTAGTTGAATTACTGTCTCATTCAAATAAACGTTTCCTGTACACATGCATTATTATGTACTTATATACACATGCATTGTTGTCAGGCATGGAAATTTGGTCATGAGAGCACACACTGGTTAGAAATTTCATTTTTACTACTGTTTATTATGGTCATATTTGCAAATGGTTGCTAACCAAAATAGCCACAAACAGTGGTTGTACATTCCTAAAATATAGAATTTGTTATTTAATGAACTTTTAACTCTACCGAGATAAGCTAAAGTAAATGGAAATAACTTTCTCTTCCTGATATTAAGTATTGGATTCAAGAATACGAATCTGTTATCTATTTTGAAAAGCCCTGACGTTCAAAAAGTGAGAAGGGGAAGCAATACATTTCTATACGATCTAGATTTAATAAAAATGGGTATTATATGCATCACCTTTTTCATTTGTTTCTATTCTTTTTTTTTTTTTTTTTTTTGCTATGCTTAGTTTATTTGAATCATTACAATGTATGTAATGGATCACTGGACAGCCGCTATTGAATTTTCTTCTGCTGATGTTGCACTAGTAGTTGTTTGATTTTGCTGCTGTAAAAAGAAAAATTTAAAAGCACCCTATACAATTATTAGTTTGGAGGGGGATATTATTAGAGTTAAGAAGATGGGTTTTTAGTTTAAATATGGAACAAAAAGATATCATTTGGTTTTTGAAAGAATTTTAGAGTATTATTTTTGTTTAAAAGTTATAATGTTATTTAGTGTTATTTTTAACATTCAAAATTATGTTATTATTATGGTATTTAATAATTGTATATTTGTTTTAAAAGAGAGTTAAAGGAAGTTATAGATTTGTTAGATTAATAGTTGATTAATGTTAGTTAGATTATGATTATTTTATTGTTAACCCTGTGATTGGCTCTGGGAAGTGAGGGGGGGGGAGGGATGGAGAGTTGGGTTTGGGGGAGAGGGGGATTTATATTGTAAAATTTTATACAATTTTCAATTAAAAAAAAAAAGAAGATGGGTTTTTGAATAAGTATCTATAGTTGCCGTTATCTTGGTATGCCCCCCATGTCCTCTTTTACACCAAACCATCAGAATTGGCCCATTGATCAGTTTGATGGCTTTCATTAAATAATTCAGATCTGTCATAACTACTGTAACAAACAGGTACCTACCTTCAAATTCCCTTCTCCAGTGAGAAATAATGAATAGCCAGCGTCAGTAGCTAGAAGCCCAACAAACTGCATTAAGGGCCGTTGTTTTACAAACGTTTCCACGGCTTCATCAGTCACATGCTTCCTCCCCGAGATGTCTAAAGATACAAGATTAGGCAAGATGTCTTTCTGTTCTAACAAACGAAGGGCAATATCCGACGTGAACTGCTTATCATCTGAAATATCAAGGTGATTCAGGAATTTTAACTCTCGTACTACATCCAAAATCTGAGTGGTTGTCATTTTCAAGCATTTCAGGTGGTGCACAGTAAGCGATTTGAGGCGATCCTTACAGGCGAGGATTGCAGTTATGTCGGTGACTGAAGTGTTGGAGATATCCAGACTTTCTAGTCTTGGAAGCGAAGCCACGTCAGCCAGATCTTCGTTGTAGAAGAGAACATTGGTGATGCTCAACGCACGAAGACCCGTCAGCTGACTGAAGCACCTTTCATAGGGATCTTCCAGGGAAAGAGTTAGCGAGTTCAGCACAAGGCATTGAAGGTTTTGCTGAATCCACTTATTGCTGCCGAGTCCGCTGATGATATCTGTGATTGTGATGTCTGCGTTTACACCAGTCGCATCAAGCTCCACCAGCTTGTGGTGACAGAATGCTTTCCAAAAAGCTACCGCGGAAATTTTTGCTTTACGGATGCAGGCTCTTTTCAAACGCATCTGGTTGCCTCGAAAGATCCCCACTGTTGCATCGTTAAGCAGCCCTAAAGGGAGGGAAGAGTACCAGATACATCACATATACAGTTTTAAAAGTGAAAAACAAGCCAGCTATCACAATTCAGGGAATTTCCACTTCAGGCCCAGGTAACAAAGAAAAAGCAAGTTCGAAAAGGAGAAAGTAGGAATCAATTGCACTCCTTATTCTCTAACGTCCTCTTTCTTCTTTCCATCCCCAACTTTTTTTGGGGGGGGGGGTTTAACAAGCTGATTTCACAGGACAGCTACAATAATACCAACTTATCCTTTCCTCTTCTGCACGGTGCCATTGCTGGAGCACTTCTACACAAGGGGGTTTTAGTGTTATCACTTCCATTCTCCAATTGCACAAAAACTGCCAGGCCTCAAATACCGTTAAATGCTGTACTGTAATTTACAGTGGCTAATGAAAGAGAATGTGCTGATCGCCTTCTATTTGCTTGGTGTGTAGAATACCATTTAATTCTTAATGCCATCAATTTTGCTGTCATGGTTCCGAAGAAGCAGCTTTTCAAAGAACTTTGAGGCTTTATTTACCTTAAAGAATCCTTTTATTGCTACATAGCTTCAGCACGTACATAATGAAGCCAAAAACTGAATCCTCCCACCCCCAATCACCCGTAACAAAGCATAACTCACTCCTTCATTTTACAGTCATCAATCACGTTCTCCAATTAGTTTGAAGTGTGAACTGTCCCTCCCATAACTCCTCTGGTTACAGCTGACCTTGGCAATGCTGTACTGAAATATTGTTGTGGTTAACTATCATACTTTCCCACCCGCAGGCTAAATAAAACACGTTTGCTTCTTCATATATGGTAAGCAAGAACATCCGATGTTAGCAGTCTTGACATTTGCATCGCTTCAGCTAAAAAATAGCCATGCCAAATCAAGTGGGAGATCATAATCAAAAGCAGGGAAACTCAAGCCCTAATTTAAATAACTAAGATGGCTCACTTGAATGGAGTCCCCAGTTACCAGATCTGGATGGATTATTTTACCGTGGAATGCCATTGTCCGCAGCAATCGATCAGCCACTTCTTGTGGAAATATTCCAGGCTCTTGCAAACATAATGTCCCATCTTGCCTTTCTGTACAAAACTTCTCAAGATCAGAGGTTAGGTAATTTAAGCAGATGTCAAGCAGAGAATATGGTGAAGCTTCTTCCTGCAGAAAGAAGTCCAATGTCTAACATTTGAAATTCAGAAAGGCAGCATTTATCACAGTTTAACTGACAAGGGGGTAGGGAGAACGGCACTTGCCATTCTCAGCATCACTAAAAATAAAACTCAGAAGGGAGAAGCTGGTACCAGAGGCCATTTTGTGCCAGTGGGGACAATCTGCATTGTAATAAGTGTCCATTTACATAAGTAGGTAGCTGGCTGAAATCATGTAATTACAAATCATTGACATAAAGGTAATTTACTTTCAAAATGAAATTACAGACCCAAAAGGGAAGAGAGCAAGAAATGATTTTTTTGATCTGGTATCACTTACTCTGATCTCTATTTTATTAGGGTCAAACAAGTGCCAAAGCCTGAACATACCTGTACTCAAAATTGATATACTATTTATTGGTTTACTTTTAGTTTCAGATCTCAAAATATACATATGGAACAAGAGGGGAAACTAGACTTAGCGCAACACTGGTGGGCACGTGTGTTTGTGTACACATGTCCTATTTTACAAAGGACTGTTTTCTGTTGGAAAACTGTCTACTCCAAATACATTTTAAAGAGAAAGAACCTTAAAGAAACGTAGCAAACAATGACCAGCTACTAAAAAAAATACAAATTATTTAATTATTGGCTTCGCTCGCTCATGATGCTAAGCGTTGGTGTTATACATCATATGTTAAATAAAGCACACTGGCTGGATTCTACATTCAATGGCTAAATGTACGCAACCCTGCTAAGACAAAACCGTTCTAAGTCTGTTATTCTGTTAAAAACAAGCATATCAGATTATGGCTTAATGCAGAAATGTGAACTAGCCATTATCTCCTTTGACAGGTCCCTCCTTTCTATTTAAATTAATTACAGTTATTATCTCAAAACGGTATCTCCATATATAAATTATCATCTCCATATTTGATGATACTCTGGCCTCTTTTTGGTAATACAGGTTCTCCTTTTTGACATGTGTTACACCATTCAAATCCAATTTTGTTTCCCAACAATTGTAGTTTTTCTGTATTAGGTAATTTATTTCCTACATCCTCACCCATCATCTACAAAGAGATTCATGTTGTAGTACACAAACAGACACACACAAATGCTTGATATTTAGAGGGAGAAGAGCTCATTAAGTTTCAGTTTTTCAAGTAGTGGAAGCTAAACTAAATTAAGGCTAATTTATATAGATATTATTGTATCATATAAAAAAAGAGAATCAACAAATGAATAAACAATGTCTTGCTAATTTTAACAGCTCTGGCCATTACTTAAGAGTGGCACCTAAAATGATATTTAAACATACAAAGTAATGCAAATATACACTTTTCTTATTAAGCAGAATCCTGAATCATCAAGCAAGAGTAATATGTTCAACAAAACTGGTTGAACAGCATTACCACACTTTAAGGTTTTTAAGGTGGATTTAACAGATCATTTTCCAAGTCTGTATTTCTTGTACTACAGAGCAGGAAGTTAATTTTAGTGTCAGATTGTGGACATGGGCACAGTCCTATAATTTTATTCCTCATGCTGAAGAAACATGTTAGAATGGACATAGAGGACACAAAACAATGACTGTTTTGGTTATCCTTGTGTCTTCTGCACTGGTTCATGTTGTTATGGTAACATATTGCAAAACATGTACAGTTCATAATTTATAATAAACAAGTATTCATGAACTAAAGCACAGATACTTTCTTATTCAAATTATCCAGGTATTTTCCCTTTGTTTTCTTCCTATATCTACATACAAGTCTGTCGTTTTCAATAATTTAGCTTTCAGTAGCTCACAGAGTAACACAAATATTGTGACTCATTCACAATGCAGACAAAAGAAAGCAAGCTGTACACTCCCACAGAAAATTTTAAAAATAGCTCTACCAATTATTTAACTAAAAAATTTAAGTCCAAACCAATGTACCAGTCTGGCTCAATAATAGTATTTCTCTTTGATTTCAGCTTGAAATTTTATATAAGCTTTTTGCCTCGTTTATTTGCTTCATGTAAGCTTATCTTAGGACTCAGATGAGCTAAAATAAAATGCATTCAGGCTTCACAAAAAGCATATCCAAAGAACCGCATATGCAACATCCAGTTCATTCTCTCAGCTATACAGAACTGAATTTGACATATCTAATTCTTAAGACTGAAGACTAATCATTCTTCCAGAAAATATTATTAAACAGAAACTAGAGTAAAATATGGAAAAGGGGAGGATGCAGTTCTTATTAGTACCTGCTAATTGTACAGTAATGGTTTACTTTGAATTATCAACATTATTGCTACTATCACAGCACACAGATGGCATTAAAACAGCTTGCAATCTGGAGACTGTACATACAGACCAAACAGCTATGCAGCACTGTTGGTAGAATCCCTACTTTCAGTATATTTCCTAATGATAAAATATAAATAAAGCCAACAAGATGGATTAAAAGTTACTGTCAGAGTGAATCAAGAGAAAAAAAGTTTCACTCTCTCAGCAACATGTCTTAGAATAAGAATAGAATAGAATAGAATAGAATAGAATAGAATAGAATAGAATAGGAGCTGGAAGGGACCTTGGGGACCTTCTAGTCCAGCCCCCTGCTCCAGCAGGAGAACCTATACCATCTCAGTCTAGCCTCTTTTTAAAAATCTCCAGTGATGGAGCACCCACGATTTCTGGGGGCAAGCTGTTTCACTGGTTAATTGTCCTCAATGTCAGGAAGTTTCTCCTTAATTCCAGGTTGCTTCTCTCTTTGATCAGTTTCCAACCATTGCCCTGCCCTCTGGTGCTTTGGTGAATAACGTGACCTGCTCTTCTTTGTGGCAGCCCCTCAAATACTGGAATACTGCTATCGTGTCTCCCCTATTTCTTCTTTTCTTTAGACTAGCCAAACCCAGGTCCTTTGTGTGTTTTAGTCCCCAGGCCTTTGATCATCTTAGTTGCTCTTCTCTGAATTTTTTCCAAACTCTCAACATCTTTTTTGTGATATGGTGACCAAAATTTGCTGCAGTATTCCAGGTGTGGTTTTACTAGGTTTTATAAAGCGGTATTAATACTTTGCGTGATCTTGATTCTATGCTTCTATTTACACAACCCAGGATTGTATTAGCTTTTTTGGGTTGCTGCTGCACACTGCTTGCTCATAGTCAAGTGATCGTCCACTAGGACTCCAAGGTCCCTCTCACAGTTACTGTTTTTGAGCCAGGTCTCGTCCAATCTGTACTTGAACCTTTGATTTTTCCTGCCTAAATGTAAAACCTTGCTTTTCTCCACTTTGAAACTCATTTTGTTGGATAGGGCCCATTGTTCAAGTTTGTCAAGATCTTTTAGCATCCTGAGTTTGTCTTCTGGGGTGTTGGCTACTCCTGCCAATTTGGTGTCATCTGCACATTTGATGAGTTCCCCTTCAATTCCCTCATCTGATGAATATATTGAAGAGTACTGGGCCTAAGATGGAACCTTGTGGTACCCTACTGTTTATTCCTCTCCATGTGGATGTAGTGCCATTGAGGACTACTCGTTGAGTACAGTTTGCCAGCCAGCTATAGATCCATCTGGTGGTGATGTTGTCTATTCCACCTTTTTCTAGCTTACCAAGGAGTAGGTTGTAGTATACCTTACTGCCTTACTGAAGTCAAAGTATACAGTATGCCTTACTGAAGTCAAAGTATATTACGTTCACAGTATTTCGCTAGTCTATTAGTTTAGTCACTTTGTTGAAGAATGAAATAAGATTGGTTTGGCATGATCTGTTTTTAACAAACCCGTGCTGGCTACTGATTATAACTTTGTTTGCTTCTAGTTGTTCACAGATCTGTTTTTTTATTATCTTTTCTAGGATCTTCCCAGATATTGATGTTAAATTGATTGGTCTGTAGTTTCCTGGGTCCGTTTTTTTCCCCTTTCTTGAAGATGGGAACCACATCAGCCCTTTTCCAATCCCAGTCCTCCAGGAGTTTTGAAAGATGTGGTACAATGGTTCTGAGATAACATTTGCCAGCTCTTTCAGAACTCTGGGATGTAATCTGTCAGGCCCCGGTGATTTATATTCATCAAGGTTGGATAGGTGTTCTCTTACCACTTTCTTGCTTATTTTAATTTTTGTTTCTAATTTGTCTTTTGCAGTGTTTTTGTTTTGTTTTGTTGGGCTATACTTTCTTGTTGTGTGAAGACTGATGCAAAGTATGAGTTAAACAGCTCTGCTTTCTCCCTGTTGCCTGTTATTTCCTTGCCATCTTCTCTCTTTAGTGGACCTACAGTTTCCTTGACTTTTTTCTTGTTGTTAATATGTTGGAAGAAACTTTTTTTTAATTATCCATGATTTCTGTTGCAAATCTTTGTTCGTTCTGAGCCTTTGCTTTCCTGACTTCATCTTTGCATGTTCTGGCTGTCTGCTGATAATCACCCTTAGTTATGTGCCCCCTCTTTCCATTTTTTGTACTTGTCCTTTTTGTCTTTCAGTTTGTCAGAGAGATCTTTGTGCAGCCATGCTGGTTTCTTCTTGAATTTCTTGTTTTTCTTTTTCAATGGTATTGTGCTGGTCTGGGCTTTTATGATCACATTTTTCAGAGTTTCCCACGCTTCTTAGGTTGTTTTCCCCTTTAGGATTTTCATCCATGGGATCTTTCCTAGGTTCTCTCTGAGTTTGTTAAAGTCAGCTCTTTTGAAGTTCAAGAAACTTGTTGGATTGTTATCTGTTGCTAGTGTTTGCGTTATATTAAATTTCAGTATGACACGGTCACTTTCACCCAAGGTTCTGGCAACTTCAACTTCCTCTTACACATAGCATTGCTCATTACTTACTCATAAGAGTGTTTTTTACTTCAAAAATCCAATTAAAACTAGGTCTGTCTGAAAAAGTATTCTCGGCTCATTTCTAACATTTAGCTTGGGAATATTCCTTTTTCAGAAAAATGGGAAATCAGACATTTAGTGCTTGCCGTATAGAGAAATTTCATGGAGAAAATGTAAAGCATAGAACAGATTTAAGTTACTATAAACAGTAAAGAGACCTTATTCAAGCTGGTCTAAGACAAGGTGGATGTTAAAAACTTCTTCCATGTGGGATCTAGCCTTATATGCTGGAATTGCACTCAGCATTGTTCTACCCAGCTGAATAGAACCAAGTAGGAAAAGCTGTCTTGGAATGATAAATTATTTTCACAAAAGTTCTGGAACAAATCTTTGGAAATGTTCAATATGAAGTCTTGGCCTCACTGTTTGCTATGCAATATCAACAGACAGCAACTAATCATATATTTTTACAGGGAAAGCATGAAAAAGGTGGGCAAGAAAAAATATTCTTCCTTTTTCAAAACCAGGAACAGGGTTTATTAATTAATACTGACTGCAGGAGATTTAAAACAAAAATGAATAAATAAAAAATAAAATTATATAACACATAATTAAGTTATTACTGTATGTTGATGGTGACTAACTTAAATGACTTAAAATGGGATTTGAATAGTTCATGGAGAACAAATTGATCAAGTACTATTCATCTTGAAGACTTGTGTTATTCCTACATTAGTGGGAGTGTGCCTCCAAATCCAGTTGTAAAAGATACAACCAGTGGGAGAGATGTATGTCTCCATCTCTGTATGTTACCTGATTCGCCTCTGAACCAAAAGTTAGACTAAAATACATACGTATTGGGCTGATGTCTATAGATAAACCCATATGGTTTATTCTATGTGTTCATTTCTCTATTTCAATCCTTTTTTTCACTACACTTTATATTCCTTTCAGAATCTCCAATATATTAGATAATAAATTACATGAATTTTCTCTTAACCCTGTCTAAAGTCTTTTGTATCATTTTATCTACTAAGTTCATTGCCTTCAAACTCTTGAATAAGTTTTTCTAAAACTCCTTAGATATCTGTTCTTCTAGCCTTCTTTTAATTTGCTGAGATTTTAACTAAGCATTAATTATCCCTGTGTCTTTTTAAATATTACGTTCTTTACTATGTCTATTTTTAAGATTGTAAGCTTATTTATTACATGCTGCAGAGTGTATTTTTAAGCATTTAGGAAGGCAATTATATACAACCTTTTAAAGGTTATAAACCTCAACAGATAATCAATATATTCGTCCTAGAACACAATGGGTGCTCTTTTTTCTTGGATAAGTTTATTCCAGAATCAATCTGATATTTATTGGCCATGTGAATAAAATCATTTGTATTCCATAATGCCATGATACTGCAGCTTTTTTTAACACTAAAAAATCACACTGGAAAAACTATTGTACAGGTAAACATACATCTATCTTTTATACTAAGACATAATGTGTGCCGAACATTCTTGTTTTCTCACACCAAAACTGCATTCTGATTTCTCTTTTTTCCAAATATTTTATTAATTTTCTATAGTCACAAATCCTTAATATTTTATCAGCAATATATTGTCTGGGTTTCAATATTTAGCTTACTAATACATGTTAAACTCCTTTCTCTCTACTTCATTTTTCTAGCCATTGATAAAATGTATCCCATGTTCTAAAGTATTCTGAATCTTCTTTCTCTTTCATTTTCAGTGTCAATCTGTCCATTTCTGCACAGTCTAAAATTTCCTTAATTATCTCTTCCTCCACTGGTAGTTCTTCATCTTTCCAAAGTTGAGCAAATACAATTCTCGCTGCAGTTAATACCTGTAACATTAAGTATATACATTCCTTCTCATAATTTCCTACAATTATACCTAACAAAAATAATTCTGGCTTAAAATCTATCTCAGTGGTGGCGAACCTATGGCACATGTGCCACAGGTGGCACGCAGAGCCCTCTGTGTGGGCACGCGTGCCATCACCCCAGTCCTAGGCCTTCAGCTGGGTTTTATAAAACCTTTTCGCTTTAGGCTTCCACCACTGTGTGCAAAAAAAAAAAAAAAGGTTCAATCAATCAATTTCAACTTCTCGCAGGAAAAAAAAAGATCTCGCAAAGTTGGAATTGATTGATTGAACTTTTTAATTCCCACCGCAGCCATGCCCATCCAATGGGCCACACCCACCCAATTGGCCATGCCCACCCGGCATCCGAGGATACATAAGTGGGTTTTGGGTAGATCAGTGATGGCGAACCTTTTAGAGACTTGAGTGCCCACTAAAAGGTTCGCCATCACTGATCTATGTGTTTTTAGTCATTTTCTCTCACCATATATGTATTCTTGATCAAAATCTTTTGGCTTTAGGGCATGTCCACCAAAGATGATAATATGTGCCTGGCTTTTCTCTACAACAATTACTAGACATATTTTTAAACATTTTTGCTAACCTCACAGGTGTTGTGCCATCTGTAAAACATTTTATATAGATTTTCTTTGTAAGCCACCGCTTTATTTTAGAATTTCTTTCCCAAAGGCTTTGCCAGTTTTCTAACTCTATGTTATGCCCAAAGTTTTTTGCCCATATTATCACTGTTTCTTTAACTTGTTACTCTTCCATCTTTAAACTTAACATATACTTAGTTTCTTAATTTTTCATCTGATGTCAATAATATCTGATCAAATTCTGTCTGTTCTTTGTAAAATCCAGATGTTTTAACATCTTTTTCATATCTCGTTTGAATTTGCAGGTGTGGCCAACATGATAGATCAATGCCCTGTTCTTCCAGTTCTTGTCTGGTTTTTAGTTTCTCTTCAGTATTCAAAATGTCTTTATAAGTCACAATTTTCTCATAGTTGATTAAGTTTGGGTGAACAAACACTTCCATTGTTGAAAGCCATCCAGGTATTTTCATATAATACATTCTGATTTCTACTGCTCATTGTTCTTCTTCACCAAGAAGTGGTATGGCAGATGTGTGAAAGCTTACAAGACATTCTTAAAGTAAATGCAGGCATTTTGCCATACTTTATGCATGTTCAGCTTGTAGTGTTCAAAGCCTAACTCAAACTATCATTCACATCAAAAACCAGATATATAATGGGTGCGTTAGACTGGAAGATCATTATAGCTTGGCCAAACCCAGCCCTAAAGGAGGACAGTATTCTTATGGGTTTGGGAGTTACATAACAAGAGATATCTTAACAAATACTATATAGTTTTTCCCTATTCCTTATATCTAAAAGAACTCAAACTATATAGCAGGTTATACTGTATGCAACATTACTGGTTTATATGAGTTTCACAGGAAGGATTTGCCTACAGCTTCAAACCTCGGGGTCTCTATATACCCCCTTCTTTGCCTTTCCATCTATTCCAAGGGCTCTGTCCATCTGTTTCATATACACATACTGTAAGTAAGGCTGACATTTTTTTTCTTACTGCATAGTGATTCTTGTTAACCAAAACTGTATCGATTTCTGCCACACCTTACAAAAACTAGCCACTTACCTAACTACCTTGTTATAAACAATCTAGAATACTACTCCTTATAATTTAACAAGCTGTTCTCTGAGTCAGAGTGAAAAAAGAATGGATGTCTCTTCCCTCGAGTTTCAATGCAAGACTATATGAGAAATTCTGATTCCAGTTCCCATTAGCATTTGTAAATACAATTATGTAGTAACGGAAGTGTCTGTTCAACCAAACACATCAACAGAGCTCAGGGATAGGTTCCCCTGAGCATGAGATACATCTTACTTAGAGCTATCATATCTGGGCTGCAAAAATCCAAACTACCGCTAGATAACATAGTCGTGGGATGTGTTGGCCGCCTTCGGTGGCCATCTAGAATTTTGAGATGTATAGAGCCCTACTTTGCAATAGAGTCCCCACATAGAGCCCTACTTTGCAATAATGGAATCCAATAGCTGCTGCACATTCCAATCACTTCTAAAAGCTCTAATCACAAATTTCTACCACTATTCTCATTCCATTAAGGGCATCAGGCAAGGGTCAGGTACCCCCCCCCCCCAAGCCTATTTGTTTACCCTATTAGGTCGAGTAAATCTTAGCGAAATCCCTTTCCCCAATATCCAGAGACATCTTCGCCCGTTTGCTGGAGACCAATAAAGCAAGATCCGCATTAGTGACAGATCGGGAGGGACACAATAGGAAGCAGTTATTCCATATTCCAAAATCCGAAATCAAAAGAGGGGTACTCCCCCGGGGTCTTGTCCCCCCTCCCACATATGGGTCTTCTACGCTTGATCTCTCCGTCCTCTTCAGGCAGCCGCGGCAATCCCCCCACGCACCCACTCACCATTTCTGCGCCAGGGACCCCACAGCTGCGTGCTCCTCGCCTCCTGGTTTGTGTTATTGTGGGGCGGGCCCCGACCACCGTGCAGAAGCGAGCCGGGGCCCCCCAGCTTAGCTGTCACCCTCGACCTGGAAGTGAATTTGCCTCAGCCGAGCCGGCATTAAACCCACACACGCAGACACACAAGCTCTCGGGGAGCTGTTGCTTGCCCTTAAAGGAGACGCGCTTAGAGAAGCTGGAGGAAGGCTTTTTTTTTCTCTCTCTCTCTCTCTCCCCAAAAGGTTCGGAGCCACAACGAAACTGCTCCGAAGTAAGTCACCTCGAATTCCCTGCGGTTTAGTCTCGCCAGTTGGGGAGTGTAAAATTGCAGACGGAATGATTGACAGTCGCCCTCCTCCTGTTCAACTGCTGAAACTTATGGTGCCGTTAATAGAGAAGAAGAGCGTCCCGGCATTCATGCAGAGTGCCTTCCTTGCTACTGAATAACCACAGTAGGAGAGTCCTGAATCGAAAATGTATCCTGAATCGCACCTCTATTTATTTGTGCACATCATGTTTTTAGGTCACTTCTTTTTTCATCAAACAGGTAGCTTGTGAATGCATTTTGAAATACATATAATTCTAAGTTGCAGCAAACATGGAAATGTAGCTATGGTCAGTAGCAAGGTCAATAGCACAGTTAAACTGAAAAGGTTTTTTTAAAAACCACCATAGAATCATGGAAGCATTTCCGGGTAATAAAATGATTGATGTCTCCTTGATCTTTTGGGGAGAAATATCACGCAGACAAGTTGCTATCACTAAACATAGCCACTTATAAATTTAAAGATCAAAACATTCTTCCATCAAGATCTGCCCTTGGTGAATTCATAGGACAATCTAAGTAATTTTCTAGCAATATTAATTTATTGATCAACTTTGTATATAGTAGTCGCCCATCTCAGCAAAAGCAACTCTGGGCACTGTACAACCAATATTATAACTTGTTGCTTTTGTTTATTTTTTATTTCTCCTTAAAATCCATATGGATGTCCTATCAAAGTATTTATTAACCATGATTAACTTCAGACGGCAGTCAAAAGTAAGTAACTGCTGCCACCTGATGGTTTCTTTTAGATTTACTTCAAGTAAGCAAAGGGATCAAAAGGTAGGCATCAAAGCATAACCAAGGTGGTTACAGGATCCCTTACTCTTACTGGAAGCACTATAGCCTACAACTTGTATGCCACAGTCTACGATATATAAACTTCATGCTGGAAAACATGCA